ATAGCTCATTGGATCACTGAGGCACACAAACCATCGCACCACGGTAAGGTCCAGCCTCATTGCGATTGAATTGTTGACATAAGGCTTGAGAAAAGTAAAATATGGTCGCTCACTTGGGTCCATTTGATATATACATCTTGTAGAATAGCATGGTTAGCATAATCCATAATAGAGGAGTTTTGGTACCAAAATGCTGAAAGCTAAGAGCAACGTCTAATCGATTTTGGAATACGTCCAAGGTAGGGGAGGACACAACAGAGTCTGGGAGTGCCTTACAGGATTGGCAAACCCGAAGGGAAAAGTACTTACGTCGACACTGGACGGCTATATTGTTCCCACAATTTCAAGCAGTTACCACTGAGCTGCGTGTTGTGGATGTTTCAGCAAGTTGTGGCATACGTGGTTGGGGTCACTCAGTATCTGATACGCTAATATGAGATCGCCGCGCAGCCTACGGTAGCGTCCGCTGAAAATTCCCAGCAATTTCAGCCTACGGTGGTAAGAGTGATAGCGCAGGCACTTTACACCTTTTGTTGCTCTTCGTTGTGGTGCCTCTAACGCCTCTAGGTCGCGCTTCAGCCAAGGTTGCCAGACTTGGATAGCGTATTCAACATTCGGGCGCACATAGGAATTTTGCATCATTGGGAAGATTGATGAGCCAAATCTCCCGAATGCCCTTCGCAGCATGCCGATGTGGTGGTTGCCTCTTTTCGCAGCTACCTCAGCCTGTCTTGAATAGTTGAAGTCGCTCTTTATGCGCACACTAAGGTCACGTTCCTGGGAGCTGGTCTGCAATCCGTTTGTCCCAAGCAAATATGTGTAGTTATGTCTATGGCGTAACTGTACAACGCGACATTTGTCTACGTTGAATGGTAAGGCGTTTTGAACTGACCAGTTCGACACTGTATTAAGATCGCACTGGAGCCGTTTGTCGTCCTCCGGCCCTCTGATCCTTCGCCATATTTTGATATTATCCGCGAAAAATAGGAAATCCGAAGCAATTGATCTCGCCAAATCGTTAATAAATACCAAGAATAGACAAGGTCCAGGTCACAAGGAAAATAGATTTGTTCGGGTCAACATGAGTTCGGAGGTTTGAGTTCGAGTGATCATGAGCGCATTTTTTCATCTTGAGAGCTTTCGGTCTTCACTGGTCTCTGAAGTAGGATCTTATTGGTGTCTTTTGGAAGCACTCGTTTTATGGTTGGATTACACGACGTGCAATCTCAATGTGGACCGCAATTCGCATGGAAGTGAACCCCGGTCAGTTCGACCACTGGAACCTTAAATGATGGTGCTGCATGCCGGAAAACACCGCACTCCATGACGCGTTTCGAGCCTATTTGTTCTCATCAGATAGAGACAGCAGGCATCGAACCCATTGGGATCCAATTGATTCGAACTTCTTGAATATTGATCCTCACTCTTTAGACAGGGTTAATTGCGTAAAGGCTGCTGCTCCCCTTGTTTAGCTCAAATGTTTTCGCCCATGAGTACTGGTTGTTCGCAGGGAATTTGCATCCTGTTAGCTTGTGCACCGGTATCTTTTTGTAGCCCTGATTCCATCTAAGTCTGTGCAACCCAAACTGATAGGGCTACAGACCGATGACACCTGTTCCTAAATAAGCCGCAAAAAGCTTTTCGGTTTTTCAGACTTTGAATATTACTCGCATCCCATGAAGTGTTTCTTATTTGTCTGCACTGATCTGGTGGATGTAGCGGAACTTCCATTCGAATCCTTGGAACACTGCTTACTACACCATATCTTTATTTCCGAGCCACCACTAACTTTTACGTTGCTTTTTGTGGGAAATCCCCGGGGAAAACTAACTTGATCCAGTCTGTCTTTTATTATTTGATCTAACTGTAGCGATTACGCAGCAATACATCGAGTCAGAAGTCCGAGATAATCCACATCAGTTCAAGTAGATTAGATAGTAGCCATGTTTTTGTCCCGTTCTCTATCGGATACTTGAGCACAGTACCAGACTGGTTTCGTTTAAGCACCGGTGGTGGGTCCACCGAAGAATGAGCACTGGAAGCTGTCAGTTGTCCTTCAGCAGCCGAGCCGCTCCTGATGGTCTGCTTAAGCAGAATCATCTGCGCTTGTTTTGCTGGTGTCTATCTGTCGGTTGTCGCGCTCTGCTTTCATCGTCTGCCAATTTCACGACTGGTTAGGTGAAACTTTCAGGTCGATGAACTGGAAAAATGATTTTTTTTACATGATGTGTTCATGGATGGGATCTCACTAGTGTCCATGCTATTATGTGGTGGCTCTTACTAACGATGTCAGGCCTGTAGGCCGAAGGCGTTTTTGTGTCTTTTAATCCAATGCTTATATATATTGCCTTAATCCACTGGCCTTGTTTGGATGGAGAGCTTTTCCTTTTCTTTTTCCCACTTGTTACCTGCGCGTGCTCGGTTGCTCGGAATATGATTAGAACCGATCGGAAAGTGGTCCTTCCATAAGGCTTAAGAACGCCCGCTTAATAATGTTTGTTGGGCGTTCGACGTTTCGCTTTTGAATCTACCAGAAGAAGCTTTGATGTCAAAAGCGAGACGTCGTGCGCCCAACAACTATACTAACCGATCCCTCACCAATCCTTTCTGCATTGAAAACTACGCCTGGTATTGTTGTGGTGGCAGTTGTTGTTGTCGTTGTCGTCGTCATCGTTGTTGTTGTTGTGCTGATGCGACTCGTGGCGGATGGGTCCAGTGCAATTCGACGTTCGGACCAGTGTCGAGTAACCGAAACAATTTGCGTCATCTCGTGCCCCAAAATATACTTTTAGTCCAACTATCGGTCTATAATCAAGTCGTGCCTCTTCAACAATACGGCATCCTTTCGGTGTATTCCTTTGCTCCTTCGTCGCCGTCCGTCCATTGAGAGGACAGAGGAAACGTGAACAGTTCATCTGATATCCACTACGAAGCAACTGGTAAAGCAAATTCGAAAGGTTCCACCAATCAGTGTATCCCCGCACTGCATGCTCCTGGCTGTTGTTTTTTTTACTCACAACCGAATACTTGAGCCCGAATAATCTATCACATATGATGTGCTTGACAGCTGGGGCGAATGGAATCGCCTGCCGCAGTGTGGTCAATCAGGCGATCGATCGAGTGGGCAGGTGAGTCTTTAAAATCATACTTATTTGTACTTCACCTCAGACTTGGGAATCGAACGTTTTCAATAACTAAAAAGTGGGATAACGAGGAGGGGGATGCGTTGACTCAAAACTGCCGACTCAAGGACAACTTGTTCAATCACAAGCTGACTCTGGGCCCATTGTACATGCAACCCGAAAAATTTCCACTAATCGTCTGCAAGACGGTCTTCGAAAGCATTCACTGCGAAGAAATATGCGTCGCAAACCGAAACCAAGACAGCCTCGTACTCTAGCGCCTGGAAATGCAATATGGTTTAAACAGAAACCTAGCGTTGAAGAGGGTTGGAAAAGAAGGAGATGCCATCAAATGCGGCTGAAAAGGCGGTATGGTGAACAGGCTCTGGACTTGGACGAGACGCCGCATCAGCCGAATAAGCCAACTAACATCGCAGTCCAGGTTCGAAAGCTCTGCCGCAGTGGAAGGCAATACGGAACCTGCAACACCAAGACAACGAAAAAAAGAAAAAGGGAAGGATGTGATGTGGCTGACAGCTGGGGCGAATGGAATCGCCTGCAACAGTGTGGTCGATCAGCAGATCGATCGAGTGGGCAGGTGTTTTAGAAATCAGTTACTTGTACTTTATCCCAGAGTTGGGAATAGAACCTTTGTCTGCAGAGCCGGTGAGAGTTCTTGCTCTTGACGCGGCGGGGAAAACCAGGTACGCAACACTACAATCAAACCATTGACAGGTTCGAAGACATTAGCGGGGTCACACACGTATCCATGTTAACCCGTGAAGTAGGACATCGACAGCAATGACATGCACACTTCGTCTAGTAGTGGTATTTCGAAGTAAACTTGTTTGGGCTAACATCACCGCTTATGGCCTTCATTTGGATAATCACAAGTGACCACTTTTGATGTGAGGCGAACATGCGTCAAAGTTGTTTGGTATGATGAGCGACCTCGAATTTCTCGAAACAGATTTGCAACCGTATTCGGATAGCATGTGATGGTTAACAATGCTTTTAAGTGAAACAATCAGTTGCCGGGCTGATTGTTGTGAATGTAATGAAGGCGGTGACAAACACACAAGGGGTAACGTTGAATACACATGGGACCGAATGAAGCAGCACTTGGTCATTGTGTCAGATGTGAAGCGCTACCCAAAAACTAACCGATTGTTTCCGATCGTCTCTGAAATCACACTCCAGTTTACGACTCTCCACCGTGTATGCTTTCTAGGCTGCACTGGCTTCAGAATTACGACACAGACACGTTAGTTTTGTGTGCACCCATCGTTTTATTTCTCACATCAGGTGCATTACTTGTTGGATACCGAGGCGCGCGAATCCATGGTAAACCAACCCAGTTGTTTATCTGCCAGTAAACACTACCTAACCTTTGTCTGACCCCGCATAAGCTGTGACTCATTCAGCGGATCCATATAAATATGTCGACCTGGTGGCACCCAGTCGTGTTTACAGTGCACACAACCTCGTGTGACGGCCCACTGATACACCGCGCATGCGTGCGTTCGTGCGTGTGCGTGCACCTTGTGTTCGACACATTCGATTGGCTCGTGTTTACCTGGGTCATCTGACAAATGCGCAATGAAGCATTGGTTGAACGGATGCACAGTGCACCAAGTCTAGGTTCGCATAATCAACGTCACCCGTATGTGCACCGGTGTTACGGTGCGGACAGTGGTATGAGTTACACTCCGTTTGTGCCTGATCTTGCTTTCGAACGGGAATTATTCGCTGATTGTGCATGTCTTTTATTGTGTGTTATGAATGTTCATAACTCCATCACTGGTCGTTTCGGTTAGCTCCCGCTTTTACGTGGGGTCTTCACTAACTGTTTTCACACGTCGTCCTCCCCCTTTCCAGTGTCGTAAGTCACCTACAACAGTGTCACTCCGGCCCGTTCGTAATGAACCCCCCAATCGCCAGTCTGCGTCAGCAAGACATTGTGGTATTAAATCCTAGAACCGGAGAAGTTTTGGGGGCTAATCAGCACGCAGCTCAACCGATTCACGCAGCACAAATCGACATCCTGAAGGCAACCAATGAGGATGCAGTAACTGGAGGAATGGATCAACATTTGAACGGACCAGATGATTTGGGACAGCAGCCAGGTTACGAGATGCAACAAAACGGAAATACAGATTCTTCCTCCAAAGGTGGAAGAGGAGCAGGGGCATCGGACGAGGGCAGTGGGAATGCCAATGGTGGTAGCCACCCCATACACAGTGCGTCGATGGAGCGAGCCCGTCAAACATATAACATGTCACAGTGCCAGTTGGCCCACGTGACCGTATACCTCGATCGAGCCTTGATCTGTCGCCGTATACGACCTCGATTCAAGGCGTCCGAAATTACGGAAGTGCTTTTTGAACATCTGTCGCCAGCGATAGACAAGGACTCCGTACGGTAAGCCCCTCGTATTTTACACGTTTTATTTTACTTACCTGGTACACAGCTGAGATTCCACCCTCAACGCATCCAAAATTTCTTTTCATGGTGTCTAGTAATCCCGTTGTTCATTGCATAGCGCAGTTCACTGGCTTCTGTGATCCTATACGTCATTGTAATTAATTTAGTTATGTATTGATTTGCGTCATCAATGGATGAAGCATGGGCAAATGCGTTCTTACTATCACCCTCTCACTGAGTTAGAACGTAACTAGGCTGTTTTAAGCTTAATTTTGTGTTAAGTTGATGTAATCATATACGCTGCTTACTATTTCTGTCTTTGCGCTGATTACTTCACGAAACGGTTACTATTGCATATAGCTTACACATTTCCAGTTTATATTTACTTCCCTCTCATCACCGAATTAGTGGGACGCCACATCCCCACTGCTTTGGGGCACAATTCCTCCAAATTTTTCGGAAAAAAGGACGACACAGTCGGTTCGTCATCTGCCTACTTACTTTAATTGTGAAGGTCACTGGCGAGAGATTGTGACTGTACACACTGAGCCATTGTCCTCAACACACACAGTTGAGCTATTCATGAGGTGTAGCGAGACAAAGCTTTTGAAAGGACTGGAAATTTTAGTAGCTGGGACAGACTTTCCATTCAACGATTCTATGACTGAGTTCATTTCATTGTCATTCGAAGATACATTGTCGATATGCAGTGCGCGAAGCCTCCTCTATTGGTGCCAAATCGTTTACTCTCAAATTATTCGTCTCAACCAGCAAGCTATTGCAGTAACAAATCAGATTGAGTAGGGTGACTAACTTCAAGGAACCGTATCATTGCAGCTATGCTTACTCTATACCGTAGCAGTTTCTCGATGATTACAACCAGACACTGGATAGGCAAGTCTGTGTAAATGCTACAGCCATGAGACAACTGTCATGTTGGGAGTCTTACAGATAGTGAGTTAGCGTCTCAGACCCACGAACATCACGCATTTACACAGTCCAATCGGTGTTTGTCGAGTTTCAGTTTGGTCATTTGACAGTAATGACCTTTCATGTGTTCCATATACTCGTGAACTGGTTGCCTCGACATATATTGTTTACCGATTAGTACGCCTAATTAGGTGAAAGTCCACTTTAAATGTGTTACATTTGGCCTGACGACGAATCACCGAAACCTCAATGTTAAAGTATGCGAATTTGAAGGGGCGCACAGAGGCTGTTTTGGCTCGTTTCTTGCGGTCCTCCTGGGTAGACCACGTCAGTTGCTTGATTATCGATCGCGGTACTAACACGAAGCCAGTGGTGGCCCTGCGTTCCCTCGTTTCTGACCAGTAACTTCCATCTGACTAGATTATCCTCTGTTTCTGATCCCATTCCTTGACTCACATCAACGTAGTCGGTGCATAGGTCAAAGTTGATAAACCGAACGTAACGGAACTCCAATTTTGCTTCAAGTCACCCGAGACGTTTATTCCATTGGCTGAAAGTAAGGGGCCGTACACCGCTCTGTTTCCCAACCAGAGTGGTGATCAACTTTTCACTAAATGATTAGAATGCCGGACTCATCTTATGCCGTTCTTGTTCTAGTCTATATAGTAAACTTTCTTGATATTGCGATTACGTTCTGTGTTTTTGGACGTATCCAAATCACATGGTAGTGGTCTGCGCAGCTTTTACGTATGCATCTACACACATGCCAATCCATAACTTCGTTGCCTTGATTTCTGCTCGCTCGCTTACTAATCTCAGAGGCGTGGTTTAATCACATCGCAACAATACCGCGCGGCTCCAGCGTTTTGTACTTATCAAATTTTTCCTAGTTCAAACTGATTCTCCTCTCATTTGAACGTCGGTGTACTTCAGTATTGAGCACTTGCCACCTAATGAAATTATTTCGAGTCAAATGCCAAAGTTGCAATTTGGCCGCGAAGTTTGACTGGAAAGGATGCCGAAGCAGTTTATCGCTCTGCTTTTCATTACGAACTTTGTATACGCAGCCGTTATTTGACGAGCGCGATTCCCAAGACGGAAGTACAACTCACATTGGTAGAATGATCTAACTGTAAGGGGTCCACTTGGTGACTTCTACCCCTCATGTGCTCTCCGTAACAAACTTGTGGCACACACACACACACACACACACAGTCGACATGCTGTTCCTCCTCTAGGTTTTTCGGTAGTTGGTGGCACACCCTGAAAAGTTAATGCCTCGTTTGACCTCCACATCACGTGACATTTAAGCCAGTCCAGTTTCCGCGCTCGTTGTGCAACCATTGAGCACATATGTGAATTCGTGTAGGACCACAGTACCGAGAGGCTAAAATGCACGAACCAATTCGTTGTATGTATAATTTTCTTGTGTCATCCGAAATGGGCTCATTCAGCTTAACGAGACCGTTACTGGCGGCTAGTATGTGGTCAACGACCCATTCACACAAACGCGTCAAAGGGAGGATCCCTTGAGGGTCACATAGGACAATTTATTGAAGTCTTGGTATATATGCTCCTCATGTGTGACTATAGAGGGTTCCTCATTTTAGTACGTACGTTTGCTCCAGTATCGTTGCTACAAGTTAAAAACACACTGTCGCTTAATCCAATAAGCCAAGCAGACCGCTACCAAACACAGCCTGACGCATTCGCTAAGAGCATCCGATTAAAATTCACTGGTCTTCGAGCACGAGGTTTGTGACAATATTCGCTCCTTTTTCCTCGACCAATATTTACTCGAACTGTTTTGAACTGACATAATATCTTTTGAAATGTGTTTGATAGATGCCACATGAGCACTGAGCTAGCCGGTGAGGGCTTGGAAATGTAGATGTGGTTGATGATATTAGCTGGCTTCATCTCACTGGAATTTGCTGAGTGAATCATCGATGACCCTATACCCTCACAGACAACGGGTACATTAATCGGCTAAGACACTAATAATGTGAACATAGGACTCCAACACAGCTGCCTGACTTTTCACAGCATAGTCACATCGCAAAGCTAACGTACACACTCAAGGGATGCAGTGAGCTCAAAGCACTTTTTCGCGTCCAAATGGTATCGTAGATCGATAACCTTATCGGTAGGGTGAGTCAGTCATTAGTGACCTAATCCATTTGACTGCAAGCATCTACCACCGCACATAAACCATTCAAAACTCCTTCAGCGCTCTTCCAAGTGTTGGTTACGCAATCAATGGAGGCGGATTTCAATGGGATTTTTAATTTACTTCATAAATCCCGCTGAGTCTAGTGCACCATCTGTAACCAACTAAGCTACTCGGTTTTTTTACATCTTTTAATTCTTCCAGTTTAGTTACGGATCAGTTGAACTGAGATTGAGTAGTTTACTTGGCGGCTCATTCCGTCAGGTTTTACGAACTATAATTGCTGAATTCGAGAGACCGTTGCACAAAGTGCTTGATCTAAGCCTACAGCATCGAACTGCCGCACTTAATTTCTTCGAATATTCGGCTACGGGGATATTTCTGACTCTCGGAGGCTGCGAATGATATCTCCGTGTTATCTCTTTCCAGCATTACGAATCGCGAGACACAGAAACGCTTTGTATGCAGTTACTAACGCTTTTAGACCGAATATTACATACCTTAATGTGCGGAACACGCTCTGGATGTGTCGGGGATTGCATCAATCTGCATCGAGACGCCTTCCGCTTGGGGTGCAACAAATAGTGCTAAAAACCCCGTACAACAGAGCGCAATTCACATCCCATTTGATCTTTTGGAAGCATACCAGGGGAAAGTACAGTGGACATATAATCAACTGCGTTTATCGAGTTAAGGCAAAACAAGACAAAACTGGAATATGTTTTGTCCCTCTTGATGCATTTCGTGTAGTGTCTCTCTGCAGCTGCAGCGTCGTCTCTCGGCTTCATTGGTGACCGAAGAAGCTACTTTCAATGGCACTAACTGATCATTCCTGTAGCTGGCGTCAAGTCAAGAAGCGCTTTTATACACCCATGACGGGTGAATTTCCAGCCGTAACACACATACTGTCTACGTGATAGAAAAGATAATTCGTTAGCGGCAAAACAATAGCAAAAAATGTTCTCAATGAAAAATATAATACTGGTAAAATTTACCGGTCATTTATTGGAGAATAGCGTTTTGGTCCAACAGCATTCTGGCTAGAAAGGGATTGACCATATGCCCGCGTGCAGGCATCGATTGCTCTCCACGTTTGTCAGGTCGATGAGGTCAACATAGAATTAGCCAGTGCACTGTACAGTGGGTGGCTAATGCCAATGAGCACTTTGGGAGCAAGTTTTCTGCAGGAATTAATGCATGTAGATCCAAAGTTTGAGCCAAGGTTTGCTTTGGAATATCACTGCAACGAGACAAGTGCATTGCGGACCTGTCAAACAGCTTGAACTACTTACCTAGTAGGCCTGAAGATATCGCAGGAGAGCGATAAGTCCAGTGTGGTAGAATACACGCAGTTATGTACCTCGGAAGCACATTGTATGGTATGGATGCTGATTGTAATCGAGCGTCATAAAACGAAAACCGCCCGATTATGGTGAATATCTCATTCACGTGGAGTGACCACGATACATTGGTGTTCAGTTTGACTCCAAGATACTTTACTAACATACAGAAGCTAAGCCTTCACCATTAAGCTGAAGTTTGGGACAGTCAGTGACAAGTTTCTGGTAAGGAGGCGATGTTTTATGAAGTGGAAACCGAACATCATTGCGCTTGGATGCGTTCAGTAACAAGCAACGAGATTTCGACCACCGTATTGACCCGTCTAAGCAACACTGCAGCTAAGTTGCAGAGGTCGACGTTGAGTTATTTACACCGATGGTACGTCATCAGCATCTTTTAGCAAAATGGATTTCCAGTGACAGATGGAGAACAGGCGTAATGACAAAATAGCTGCTTAAAGGACAGCGAAAGCTTTGTAGGTGACGAGGGGCTTACGTCACCAGATCTACTGACCTGAATACGTTTGAGAAACGAGTCCTTTAGCCAGTAGGCTCAATACA